GTGTCTAACTTATTTCTCTTACTATTATGGTCTCTAGTCCAGTTGCCCTGTTTCTTACATGAGTCCTAATCTGCTACTGGTGCAACAAAGGACCAGTATGAGACCCACAGACAGCCACGGAGTTTACTCATGCCTGATATGAAAGGGATTGGATTGCAGCATTCTAAGGAGTAGAAGATATTTCAGTGGTATCTCGGAGCAATATTGTATTGCACTGTAGTTCAAGATCGTAAATAGATTCTCATCTCAGAAGACACTTTGTTCCCATTTTAATAAATTGGCTCCAACTTCTCTTACTAACAGGATATACATAAGATCCCATCTTTCATGACAACACCATGGAAATTTGATCTGTGAGAAGTCCATGAACTTTAGGTGCAGATTCCATACCAAAGGCAGACAGATGAATTAGTACCTTTTACATGTTGTGGAATTTACCCCATGTGAACCATAAACACCTGTGAAACCAGATGTCCAGGACATCACTATGTGGCCTCTGATCTGAGACCACTCCACTTCAGAGAGTACAGGAAGGCCTCTGTGTTCTGTCTGTTCACAAGAGGCATTTCTTGCCAGGTTACATATATTTTCCCCTCTTCTTTTTCATTCTCCCATAATAAGATGAGAGGAGAACTCAAACTTATAGATCGAACAATTGCTAACTTGTACATTTGGTTTCCTTACCTGTAGTTTTACTGGTTGATACTGGGAATTTTCCTTGAAAGATCCATTCTCTACTTGGCAATTCTCAACCAGCCACAATAAAGAATTGCAAATTGAGTTTTGGTTCTGCTCTACGTATTTATTTATTTGTCCAAGTACTCTTAAAGCAAAAGCTGTTAACCTTTAAGACAATAAAGCAAATACTTAGAACACTGAGCTCCTTTTGGCTTTCATCTTGGAGGGTATTTTAGTTCACACAATTTTATTCTTTGGAAAAAAATAGGAAAATTTAAAACATACAATTCCATAGTAAATCAGCATTTTCCAAGGTGACAAGGGAAGATATCTGAAAGATCGCTAAAATATTCAGTCAGCAAATATGAAGAGCACATCCTCTGTGATTACAAGACTGTTCACAAGTACACAAGTAAAAGCTGATCCCTGAGGACAAAATAATTACTCTCTAAAATTAAACTGAGGGAAGGCACAGATCTGTGAACATAAGACACGGCAAGGTAAAATCATAAAATTCTAGATTGTAAAATTTGCACAGTTGTGGCATCTGAATCCCTACCTCCTTTCCCCACAGCCTGGGAGTGTTTATCCCACTTCTTTCCCTCGAGCTCTGCCACTGACACACAACTTGGTACCTCTCAAGGAGGTTTTAGCATCATGAATACTTAGACAAAAAGTAGTTTCAGTCTCTACTTACAGCTGTCACCAAGGGTCAGAGAAGATGGAATTCATGCTCTGCCTCCTAAATGCCTCTTCCCTCTCCAGCTCCCTGAAAGCCTCTCACTCTGAGCATCTCAGAGGTTGAAGGTTCAAGCTATTTGTTTTTTTGTTTTGTTTTTTTTTTTTTTTTTTTGATTTTTCTCCGGTACCGGGAACC